CTCTAGGGGCATTCGATTGCCGGTGAAATATTTGGCTGTAAAGGTCAAGTACTGTGGAGCGGTGAGTCAACAACAAGTTTGAACCATGTGAGGCATCTGTACATAGGCAGAAGTTGCCTAAGTCATGTCCTTAAGAATGACTTCTCCCGCAGCGAGGCGTGGTGAATTTGGGGCACTTACTGTCCCACGAACATTGGGGAGCGTTCAGGAGGTGAAGCAGAAAAGATAGTCCCGAGGCTACGGCGTTGAGCCCACAGAGAGCGACGGTAGTCCTTGCGCTCCTGTCAAAGTAGCTTCAGCCACTCGTCCTTGTCCACCAGTGATTTACGAAGGACGCTGTGACGGCATGTCAGCATGCGTCAGATATTCGGAGGTAAATCAGCTGAACCCATATCAAACTGAGAGTGAATCCCCTTGTTGACAGCACAGTGACGGTCACAGAGCTGAACATTGTCATCCAAATGTTGAACGGCGTTCCGTTGTTCCCACATATAGAACCCAAGTGAGATGAGTTGCTGGGAGAGATGGGAAGCCCGCAGAGAAACCGACTGACTACTGCAAATCTTGTCAAAATAACTTTGTTGTAGTGACAGCCACAATGATGCTAGACTTCCTTCCAAAAGTCCCTGACACCCAATAGATTCCTGGGCCAGAAAGGCGGGGCAAATGGTCCAAACGAGAGGTGGGTTGTGATGGGTCGCGGACACCCAGAAGAAGATTGAGTATGGCATGTTTAATGGCAGGCAAGGTGAGATGCATACCCATTAGAGCAAGAGAGCTGTCACCCTCCAGTCCCTTTTGTCCTTGGCCGACGCTGTCAGACATTGTGGAACATGCAAGAAGTGATCTTCAAACGCGCCGCACCGAGGACACGCAGCAGATGATTCAAGGCCCCAATACACTTTGAACTTGCCTGTGGCACACACCATGCCCACCCAATGTTTTGTAATCCAGTGCTGGGCAGGGAGGGACCGCATAGCGTGACCCAGGGTCTCCCAATCAATGAGGTTTTCAGCTTCTTCAGAAATCACGCTATGGTCCCTCCATTGTTGCCAAAGGTGTGGAAGTGTCACGCATTCCTGAATGAATTTATCACTCAGCCGGGACTGCTTTGTGTCAGCCACAAAAAGAGCCGCCAGTTCAGTGAAGAACCAAGGATTGGGAGGGATGAGTTAGTGGGCTGCCTCAAGTTCCTTGCAGAAATCCACTGCCATGCCGTCTACCTCCAGGTTTTTCTTTTCCCACCAAGTGAGATCATCAAATAAGTTGGACTTGTCCAAATGTCCGTAAACATGTCATGGGGACAAAGACACTGGATGTGTATGCCTGGGCCGTACAGTTTGAGGCCAGTGATAAGGGGTCCGAGAAGTGTCATTGCAAAAACCGTTCCAGATGCATTGGCGGGCATAGCGACCATTGGCAGTGGTGATATCTGACACAGTAGTCACTTCTAGGAACATCCGGCACCAGTTGAGCCAGAGAAGTTTGTCCTGATCAACCTCCAGATCAATGAACAAGTCAACCAGAAGGGCGTCGTGGTGGCATCGCAAGGACAAGGCCAGAGAGTCAAAGGCCACATACATATCCAGTGACTGGAGCTCCTTCCATACTTGTTTCAGCCAGGTATCAGAGGCCAGAATGGATGTGTTCTGGTAAGCTTGCTGCAGAAGACCAAAGGAGGTAGCAGTTTCTACACAATCTTCTTGGGTGTTGGAATCTTCTTTTTTAGGAGTGTTTTGGGTTGTTTTCAGTTGTTGAGTGTCAGACTAGACAGTGTCTCCCTTTACTAGCTGCTATGGAATTCCATGTCTAGATTGTGATTTGCTGTCAATCAGATATTGCTTTCATACATATTGAATCGAGTCTGCCCATTGGCGGTTAGACTCCTCATTGTATCCTGCAAATTGTCTATGTTGCTGTGGATGAACAGGAAGATGGTGAAGAAGGGCCAAGCTGACAGTTTTGGGGGACGTGCCAGAGACAACCGCGCAATAGAGGAACAACGCGGAGCATGCATTGCCTCTTCCCACAAAAGAACAAGGATCCAAACACAAATATGGTGCAATGAAAAGTAAAAAGTAACAATGCATGTCTCCATTCTAACCTTGAGGCAACCTTCATTACTACCTACATTCTCTTAGTCACATGCTGTTTTCTAGGTTACTGCAAGGGTGCTTTACCTTCAATCTCCTGACAAGCGGATGCCTCTACTTTCTCCAGCAGAAATTTGTGGAAGAATCCAATTTGTTCCAATCGTGCTTCCTTTTCCAATGGGAGTTGCCTTCCATCCTTGATCTATCTTTTCATGAAATGAAAGAAGTCCCTCATCCGTTTCTTTTTCAATTAGGTCATCTTTGTTCTGCCCCCAACAAAAAGCCAAACGATCTCTTTGGTACTTTTCTTTGATGCTGCAATGTAAACAGGCCTTTCACTGAGGGCCTTTTCAGTTTCCCTCACATCTTGTAGCATATCTACAAAAGGATAATTTGGGGCTACCAATTCTTACAACTTGCCACTAGACCTTTCCTTAAAAGCCAGCAGTATGTGTAATCCTTTGGACGTCAGAATGGTTCTTGGTGAAAAATCCAGCATCACAACAAAGTATCGACCACTTGGAATAGGTTTTCCACTTACATACGTCTCAATCATCTTTCGTCTCTCAGCTACAAATGCCCTGGACCAATGGTTGGACACCCAAATGACCAACCTAGCCATCAAACATGCCATCCTCCTCCTTATTCAAGGTGTCCGTGATCCGTCCCTTTCTTCCCTACAGGGTGTCCCCGGCCGCCTCTGTAGGGCATTCCGCTCTCAACAATGCATTGGCTACCAAGGACTCTTGGAAGGACTGCTGTCTCGTCAATGGGCCTCCTTGCAGGAAGAATACCTACAGTTGCGTGGGAGGCAACTCTCCTACTCTGTGGGTTTCTTGTCTCTCGCACCAGCTGATCTTGATGGGGTTCCAGATTTGAGAACATCGGAACCTGGTGCAACACTTGGAGGATAATGTGCAGCTAGTACGTGAGCATAGCCGGCAGGTCAATGACGGGATTCATTCTCAGTTCAATATGGGCCCAACCAACCTTCCAAAGGTTGTCCAGCGCATGCTCTCAGTCAAGAGGAGTGGTTAAAGCTGCTGAAAATGGAACACACGGCCTATTGCCGCGCTCTGGTGCCTCAACGCCGCATTCTCCATCGCTTTTTCCATGATCCTAAGGACCAAGTCCCCTAACCACTGTTTCGTAGAAGAGTCCGGATCCACTGGTTCTGACTAGAGCAACTTCTGTTTGTCAGATGCCTCTCACGGTTCAAACTTGTTGTTAACTTGCCGCTTCCCAGTACCTGACCTTTACAGCCAAACATTCCACCAGCAATCCTATGCGCTAGATAGCATTTAATTGATTAACGTCTCAGTTATTATTATTATTATTATTATTTTCTCAGCTGCAAATGATACTCCTCTTGCTCTTCCGCTCCCGTCCGCTCCTTTGCTACTTCCTAACTCAGCTGGGACTGCGAAAAACCACCCCTGGTGTCGCTCATCTTCTTGAACCTCTGCTGACTCTCTCTGCATACCCAATCCCCATATAAGCACCTGGTGGCCCGAAAGCTCCCACTGCCTGCTGGTGGGGAGAAAAGGATCTACATCCATTGCGCTGACCTACAACAGATCACAAGTCACGCATCTCTGTTCGATACAGTAAATAAAAGCGGAATCAATCACCCAACGACAAGAATTTTCACCTGTTTTTTTATAAATATAAAAATCACTTTTCTTCTTTGCCCATGACACGCATTTGCCACAACTAAATTTCCATGCCTACAGCAAATCATACCACGTATAGTATCCCTACATATAGTACCACCAAATCTGCTGGGTGTACTATGAAATACTACTACTACTGTACCATTCTACGATACTCTACGTTACCATACCCCCGAACAAGCTCTATACCGACCCCTCCCCTGGAGAGCTGGTTGTGTTGAGTCTTCTGGGCAGGTGTGGCGAACAGACTGGATGAATCAAAACACAAAAATCGATCTCTCTCACAATAACGGTGATATTATTCATCAAAGAATGGGAAGGGGGAAAAGCAAGAAAAACAGAGATGATTCATCATCAAACATAGCTAAGCAGCAACAGAATAACCAAGGCAAGACTAAGAAGCAAAAGGAGCCGCCTGCGTTAAACCAAAGGCTTCATCAAAAGCCGAACGACCCGAGTCGCTCAATGCATCAATCTGGTCTGTCAACGGCAGCTTCCTTCAAAGGCTGGTGTCTGCAAGAGCGCCAAGGTATTGTGTGGGTTCTAGGCTGTGCATTCCTCGGTAGTTTGTTTGGATTTGGAATCGGTAGTGGCTTTCTAACAGGAGAAGGGAATAAGCCACCCAACGCGTGGCGAGTAGCTCTTGGCGCTCGCATCAGATCCTCGGCAACGTATGAAGTTTTGACACTGAATCGATCTCCGTGGAGCCCATCACATGGAGGAAGCTTCTTTCAAGAGGCTCAACCTCTGAACTCTAGGAGTAAATCTGTTGTGTTGCTCGACGCTGAAACATTACGATCTGATCCGTCACATTCGACAGTATATGCTGTCTTAAGGGAAGCTGTGGTCCGAGAGATGGGAGGCTATGTTCACCCCGATCTTGGAATATTATCACCTGCTCCTTGTGGATCAGCACGGGGACTTGGGATGGTACGAGATAGCTATCACCGATGTCAAACCAAATGCCTGCCTGGGATTGCAGAGGAGAAGAGGAGAGCGTCAATAAAAAATACTACTAGTGAGAAGACTTTCATGCAGGAAGAGCTCCTAATAAAGGCACCTCTAGCCTTTCAAATGACCCGAACTGCTGCTTTGGAAACATTGATGCCCCTAATTTCTCCAGAAGTGCAACAACATGAAAGATTATATGAACTTGACGACGCAGCACTTTTGACTCTGTTGTTGGCACATGAACGTGGAGTTGGAAAGTACAGTCGCTGGCTGCCCTACATAGCAAGTTTGCCGCTAGAGCCAAGCTGCGGTTATTCTAAAAATCTTCGTCCCTATCTACTTGATAGCATCAACGCTCTCCGAGAGGAGCTTGGCGTTGACATTAGCGGTTGGCCTGGGGAGCTATTGAAGGCGACACAATACGCTGACCGCATTGCAAATGCTTTATCGCAAGACTACGGAAGCTTTCTTCAACATCCAAAGGGCGTATCACAACTAGAGAATATCGAATGGGCTTTATGTCAAGTCGCCTCTAGGGCAATAGCCGGATCGCAAAAGCATGGCTCATTACGGCTCATTCCATTGGTTGACTTGATTAATCACGACAACAACGCGGCAGGATTCGTTGAGCTGACAGGGGAGGAAAAAGTATCCAATGGTGACTTTGTTGACTCGATACTAGAGGAAGATTCTGGCGCGTTTGCTGTTCGAAGCCGAAGGCATGGTCGTAGGAAAGCGCTGAAAGTGGGTCAAGAGTTGCTGATCAATTACAATGTCCCTCACTACTCTCCATTGGATTGGTTTGTTTCCGTTGGTTTCGTGCCCCCAGAAAGGTGGGCAGGCTGGGAGAAAATCGATTCTGCTCTTCCCAAAATACGAATGGACGGACCATTCGGTGCTTCCAACTCAGGACGTGCCTTTCGGTCCTTTATCTCGGAAAGCTCAGACTCTCCTCGGTTGCAAACTGGTCCATTTCAGCCCAGAGGCCCTGGAAGGAACGAGGATCTATAAATCACTTTACTGAAGCTTAGAAGCAGTAGGTCGAAACGGTTACGTACTCTAGGAAAGTTTTTAAATCCTAGGTTACTGAATATTTACTTTGCTGTAGTTTGAAGGAAAACTGCAGTCCATTACTCCCTACAGTACCGGTACCCTACCCTGAACACATGCCCTGCATCGCCCACCATACCACCAGTATTTTTCATGAAACGACTTCATTGACTCGCTGTCGCACGACCGCGCATTTCAACCACAGAGTACAGTAAAAGATGGAAAGAAATCGCATGAGCTCAATCAAGCTGAAATCAAAGGCAGTGATCTCCAAAGCATAGACGATTGCAAAATGGGAAAAGCCAAAAAGACTAGAAAATTCGCAGTGACAAAGAAAATCATTAGCCCGAAAGATACTCGTGTGAAAGAGAACCTTGAAAAGGCAAAGAAGAAAGCGGCTGACAAGATGAAGAAGGAAGAACCGCGCCAGATTGAGCAGGCAGTTTCATCTCTCTTTTTCCAATATAATACTCAGCTTGGACCACCATACCACGTCCTTGTCGATACAAATTTTATTAACTTTTCCATTCGGTAAGACAACTATCATTCGGTCCAACAATATTTTGACATTTGACATGATGGGTATCTCACCTTCTGACAATTTTGTTTTCTTGGTAGTAAAAAATTGGATATGATCCGAGCAATGATGGATTGTCTGCTGGCGAAATGCGTCCCTTGCATCACGGATTGCGTAATGGGAGAATTGGAAAAACTGGGAGGTGAGTATTCAAAGCCGTACCAATTGATAATGACGCTTGTTGCTCATGCTTGTTGGAAAATAGGAAAATACAAGATCGCGCTTCGTCTCGCCAAAGATGATCGCTTTGAGCGAATTCCTTGCGACTGCAAAGGCTGTTATGCAGATGATTGTTTGACCAACATGGCTAAGCAATGGCGGTGTTTCATTGTGGCTACTTGTGACAAGGAATTGAGAGGACGGATACGAAAAATTCCAGGGGTCCCATGCATGTATATCAGTGGATACAAATACACCGTGGAACGAATGCCAGAAGCATTCGGAGCACCACCATAAGTTGAATGAAACATAATGCAACGTGTAATGCTTGATGCAGAGAAATCGCTGGTATGGTTTTTGCGTTCAAAATTCCAATTTCCATTTTATAATAGTCGTTAGTACAAATATACTAGCCCATAAAATAGAGTCCAGAATAATGTGAAGGACAAACCACTTTGCTGAAGATTCGTGGTGGAATAGGACCACCAGCTTTGGCGTGTGTATCCATGCAGACTGCATTTCATTTTCATCGTCCATACCACCACCAAAACCAAAAAATGTAGAGCAACAAAGCAGACTGAATGGACGTTTGTCAGACAAAAATAGAGACGATAGAAATCTTGTTCGACTAGTCCTCTACTCACCCAGACCTTGCAATCCTGTCAAACCACATATTCCTGCAAGACAACCCGAAGCAATACTCATTACAGATTTCATTCGATCAATTTTCTCCAAATTGTACCTCAGACTCATGAAGTCTATGATGTCCTTTTCTTCGTCACTTTGAGACGATCCGGGAACTCCGGCGTCGAGATTTGCCATGGGGTCTATCATTTTGTTAGAGTGATTTGTCTTTTCAATGAAAACAAAGGGCGGTTGGGCAAAGACCGAGGAGGTGGAATCTTGATATTTTATTTGTTTGTTATTTATTTTGTAATTTGAAGCTTGCAGATGTAGCTTGGGTAGCTCAGCTGGTTAGAGCGTGGGTCTAATAAACCCAAGGTCGTGGGTTCGATCCCCACTCCGAGTACTTTTGTTCCACTCAAAGGCTCACGTACCAAAGGCTTTTCCTAGACTCCACAGTACATGTACCTTGCATACAGGTACATGTAATGTCATATATGATATGTAATGATTGATTCAATTATCATTCTATGCAAACGACTTTATGGCACCGTATTGTGTGTACCTGATAGGCTACATGTAAAATAGGTCTGTATTATCGGAAATGTCGTTTCCTTTTGCGTGAAACGCACGAGCTCTTTCACAGTCAGACGACGACTCCTAACTCTCACTCATATCCAACTGACGCTCAATCAGTTATCCTCACCAAAAACGACTGTCCGTCGCTCCACCACGAAGAAGCAGAGTGTAGGCGTGCGTGTCGTATGCATGCGTCGCGAACTCCACCCTCCAAGCCTCCAACGGTGACTGCAAACAACTTGTAATTGCAACAAACACCAAGGGAGCCGAATATACAACGCGCTTGAAACAACAATTTCCTAACCATAGCTAAAACAATTAATCCCAATAGAATCGGAATCATTGCCAACAGTACAACGAAAAGAAAATGTTCAAGATCCGTCAATCCAAGTATCGTCACATCTTTTGTGATCAACCAAAGACCGAGGTAAGGATCGCGAACGCCTTTACACGATGTTTCAAGCGCGAGTTCGAGGACGGGAGCAACCAAAGGACTCAGAGGGTCCGCTGGTTCTAACGCTGCAATGTTCCAAGCCGTGCTTGACTTATAACCTTTGAAGTTGAAAAGGCCGTCATCAGTCGCCATTATTGTCCTTTGGAGCCATCAACGTTCACTCAAGTTAATTTTCGCCCTTTCTTTTCTTGTAGCTATGTTACACTGGTTTCCGTGTTGCCACAACCACCGGTGAAACACAATATATTAAGGCTTCGACAAAATATTGGGCGGTAGCTATGTTTGGAGGTGGTGGTCCTCTGGTGGTCGGGCGTCATGACCGTCCTGGACGCTTCGAAGATGGAACCAGTCCAATCTTGAAGGGCCACCATGGATCTGTGTTAGATATGGAATGGAGCCCGTTTGATGATTCTCTTCTCGCAACTGGTAGCGAAGATAGTACCATCAAGCTTTGGAGTATCCCTGACGACTGGGAGCCTACAGATGAAAGAGGTCTAGGAAAGGAAGGCAGTCATATCTCGGAGTCCATGATCGACTTGGAAGGGCACGACAAAAGAGTAACACTCATGAGATTCCACCCAACTGCTTCCAATACTATGCTGAGTACAAGTGCCGATCACACTGTCAAGGTTTGGGACGTCGAAGCAGGAGAAGCCATCACATCGTTGGATGGCGAAATTTCTGACCTTTCCCAAGACATTGTTTGGGATGTTAGAGGAGACAAATACGTCCTCTCCAATAAGGACAAGGCCATTCGATTTGTTGATCCACGAACTGGAGCTGTGATATCCAAGCTTGAAAAGGCGCATGAGGGTTCCAAGAGTGTCAAGTTAAGTTTTTTGGGAGAGTCCGGGAAACTGTTGTCGACTGGTTCCACAAAACAATCTGGCCGTGAATTGAAAATTTGGGATCTGAAGAAGATGGACAAACCGCTTCACTCTGAAACAATCGATACTGCTTCGGGTGCATTGATGCCATTGTACGACCAGGATACCTCCGTTCTCTATCTTTGTGGAAAGGGAGACGGAATCATCCGTCTTTATGAATTCGAGAACAAGGAACCATACCTGCACAAATTGAATGACGGGTTCCGTTCGACAACCCCAGGAAAGGGATACTGTACCGTTCCAAAGCGTGGTTTGAACATTATGAATTGCGAAACTACTCGTATCATGAAGCTTACGAACACGGACGGTATTCATCCTCTTCACTTCACTGTTCCACGAAAATCTGATGCATTCCAAGATGATATCTTCCCTCCCACAGCAGCTCCAACTCCTGCGCACTCGTGCGAACAATGGTTCAAGGGATCTTCGAAACTTCCCAAGACCATGAAATTGGATCCAAACTCGATGTCCGGTGGGGGAAGTAAAGGCCCAGCTGCAGGCAAGAGAGTGTCCATTAGGTCTCTTCCTACGCTATCCAAAGAAGTCGATGCTCTTAAGAAGCATGTTGCATATTTGGAGGGCAAGCTCAAGGCAGCCAAAATTTCCTACGATCCCATGAAGTAAATCTTTTTCTCAGCTCTCTCCCCGCTTACTATTAATAAAACTAGTCATATTATTTTTGTTTCCATCGGTGTGAGAAATGGAAGGTGTGCTGTATTGCAAGGTACTGTACCGGACTCGCACCTGGTAATGCCGGTACGAAACTGATATTGTTCTCATTATTGTTTGACTGACAGACGACGTACTTACGTACTTCATAAGAACCGATCAGAAAGTCCATGCCGAGTGACACTTCATGAAACAGCTACTTCCCGGTACTGTAGTAACACACAACAGTGCTGCAATTATGAAGTCTGCTGTTGCCCTAGTACTTCTCGCTCTTGCTCAAACCACCACTGCTTTCACCACCTGGCAACAACGTGTCAGAGTAAGTGGTTGGACCACCTCTTGTCCCAGCGATTCTTGTCTTTTCGCCAACATTATCATTGCTGGAGCCCCAGCCAGTGGAAAGGGAACCCAATGTGAAGTTATCAAGTCGGAACTTGGCGTTGTTCACTTGTCCACTGGTGACATGCTTCGTGCCGCTGTCGCAGCCGAAACTGAAGTCGGAAAGATGGCCAAGGACTTCATGGATAGTGGCAAGCTTGTTCCTGATGAAGTCATTATCGGAATTGTAAGCTTCGTTTTTGTCCAAATGAATCGATACAGATGCCTTTTGAGCTTATTATTTTCCTTTCCTACAGGTCAAAGATCGCCTTGGAGAATCGGACTGCAAGGAAAACGGATGGTTACTCGATGGTTTCCCACGCACCCAAGCTCAAGCAAGAGCCCTTGAAGATGCTGGTGTCTCTGCCGATTGTTTCCTATTTTTGGATGTCCCAGACGAAATGCTCGTCGAACGTGTAGTCGGCCGCAGAACTGATCCTGTTACTGGAAAGATTTACCACATGAAGTTTTCGCCTCCGGAAGATGAGGAAGTCCTGAACCGTCTAGAGCAAAGAAGTGATGATACCGAAGAAAAGGTTAAGGTTCGTCTTGACCAATTCCACGCCAATGTCGATGCTGTGAAGGACAGCTACACGGATATTATGGTTTCTATCGATGGAAACCGCACTCCAAGCGAGGTTTCGTCAGAAATCATTCAAACAATCAACAGGATGACATCAAAATAATGCTGAAATCAAATATTTTGCAGCTTTTAGAATCTTTCAATTATCTCTTGTATTTTACGCTGAAGTTACAACATCAATTCAACGGAGCTAGTCTCGAGGTCTAAGAAGAGAGATCGAATCGTATGCCTATTCGTTCAAAGAAACATCGCTCAATCCAGTACTGGACACTTCGTCGATATCCTCTTCGGGGTTAAGTTGCTGAAGGTGAGCAATCACCGCCTCGAAAGACGCCAGAAAGTAGCCTATTTCACCAATCGCATTCATTTTGTCGCAAAGTGTGCTCAACAAGACACCTGAATGATATGCAACGTCAGAAGAGTTACATGGAGCGAGTCGAGATGGCTGAAAGATCACTTACAAAGAGCGCATGGTCGTTCAAGATTTGCCTTGACAACACAGAAGATGAAGACCGGCAAAAAATCATCAGCCCCGACCAAATCTTTTCCCCTGTGCTCTTCTGCATGCAGTCGAGAAACTTCCCTCGCCGCATCAACAATTGCCTGCAGCTTTATACAGGGTAAGGTACTGTTTCCCAAGCCGCTTCTCAGAATGAATGCAACTGATTCCCACTGTGATGGGCTGATGCTTTCACGAGGAATTCGAAATGTTCCCTCGGACTGAGGTCGCTTAATAAGTTCCTGACCAGATACGAAAGAGCAGTCAGCATAGCATTCGCTGGTCCGATGAAATCCTCGAGTTTGACAACCAACTTACTTTGCTTTTCAGCTATGTTTACCAAGTTCATAAGCAAAAGTAAGAAATAGTGCATACTTGATGAACATATTTGCAAATAGAAGCATACCTGGACTTCCATGTCGTCATGCCGCCAGCCATTAACAAGCAATCGAGAAACGACACTTCTGAGGGGAACATAGACTTCTATTTCGACTTGCTCCCTTGTTGCTTCGCGAGACAAGCGATTCAATTTTGATTCATCATTTGCAAACTGTTCCCTGAGTGCTTCGTATTCAGGGCGTTCCGATATCAGTTTCATCTCTGACAGGCAGCCTTCTAACAATAAATCGACCAACTCATCAAGAAATACTCTGATATCTTTCAGTTCCTTCATCGAATGTCCCTTCAACTTGTCTCGGCCTTGCGCCTCCAGTGTTTCGATTTCTTTAAGGGACGGCGTCCTAGCCCTGGTCGCATCTACAAAATCGTTCACAATCCTTTGCATGATATCGAGCTGAAACAACCTCCACATATACCGCTGCAGACTCCTCTTCAACAGCTGTCGAACGTTCCAAGAATGATAGTCCATAGATGATGTCATCGACTGAAAATGGCCCTTGTCCGACTGTGTAGAAGAGAGTCCTGCCTCTGTTCCCAAGAAGGATTGAACATGAATGGCAATTTTTGCCACGTTGGCGTTGACCACAGGTGAAGTGTAGACTAGTCTACACAGGACACGTAAAAAAAACTCAAGTTTCCTACATGATTCTTGCTGGACTTGTTCGTCCAAAACGTCTTGACGGCGTGAGGTCAAGGCATCCCAAATTGATGTAACCATAGGAAAAGGCAATTCAGAAATCTTGCACTCTTTGGGTGCCAATGCATTCGCAGTTGCTCGCAAATCTTCAAAATCTTCGAAATAACGAAGTGGAGCGTACCACTCTTTCCCTGATTCCACATCATACACCCATATTGTATAGGCAAGTTTAGCAGCACCCTTCCCCTTGTCTGCTTCTTCGATGAAACAATTAACTATTCGAGTTGACAAAGACTTTCGAATGCCATCTAGAACGTCCATTTCTTGGTTGTGCTGGGAGTAGATGTGAGCATATGGAGTGGATGGTGTTGTCAGTGATGTTGTTGCCTCCCACTGTTGTGCACGATAGTGAAAGTTCCGTATTATCTGAGACACCTCGAGCTGTTTCTGATTCGAGGAAATCAGTTTTCGCTGTGCAAGGATAAATGCAAATTGATGCACTGTCTGTTCCTCTTCCATTTGTTGCTTTTGTTGCTTTTCCATCTGTTGTTGTTGGCGTACATAATTTACGTCTGCTTGATCAGAAGCGTCCAACAGCGACCTAGAGTGCGCGATTGTCGCCCTTTGGAAGTGTAAGACTATTGGGTTTAAGGATTGTTGAACGGACAGAACGATATCTTTTATCCGGCTAGTCGTGTGGTGGTGAATATAGCGATGGATTGGAAAGGATCTAGCAAAGGCAATTCCATTGATTCCTATCAGTATGTCGTTCTTGCGGATCCCAGCATTGGCAGAAGGACTCATTGGTGATGGCTTCATGTCACAAACTTGAACATCCCCGTTTGGCAGCTCGTTCAGCGTCATTCCCAGACCTCCAGCACGAGAATCACGATAAACCACAGCTGTAAAGAAGTATATTTCTTCCTCTTCCGATCGCCCAGCTTTTGCAGGACTTTGTTCTTGATGGTGATCATGAAGAACGCGCTCTTCCATTTCGAGAATAGGATCTTGATAATGCAAACTAGAAGATGGAAGAAGTGAATTGCTCTCATGGTCAAGGAAATTTTCTCGATCTGCGCTACTGTTTGTAGCTGAAATGTTGTCGTAGTGGCATTTCTGTAGTCGCGTTGCGTGGATTTTTTTTAGCGACTCTAGACTTTCATCTGGGAAGATTTCTTGCAATAAATTGATGCCTTGAAGATCAGCGTCCACAGCTGTTGAATTGGGATTCAAAAGAGAAGATGAAGATGCTGTAGATACCGAAGACGAAGAAGACGATGAGTCAGTTGATTTATTGTCTTTCATGTCATAGCTGGCAAGTTTGTCAAAAACTTTGGTGCCGGACGTTGCGGACGAGGCACTTTCAACTTGTTATTATTGAAAAGCTTTGAGAGGTGAAATGACAAAAGACTACTTTAGGTCAAAGTTTGATTCATGGGACTTGGCAATGGCTTGCGCGCATAAAACAGTCGGCAACAATTCAAATCGTTTTTGAAAAAGTACTGTAGCGGTACCTTGATATCTTGCACACGTACTCTACTGTGCTATACCGTACAGGTAATACCGAACAAATCATTCAATCGATCTTCATACATTTTTAATATCATTCGGGAACACCATGGCGACAATCCAGCACCCCTTACAGTTTCTCCTAGAGAGTGAGCAATCTGTCCCATTCGATGACGAAGAAGATGGTTTTGAAACTCTAGAAATGCGTCAGGCGCAGTGTTGCAAAGACTTAGTTCAACAGATAAAGACGTCAAACAAATGTAACATTCGAGATCTGTTTGACTGCAAGTTCTCTGATCTGACATTGCTTTTGGGAGACCTGATAACACATCGTCTAGACTATGATGCAATTTTACCTGCAACACAAGATGATACTGCAAATGAAGAGGCGATCTCTGGAACGACGAACGCGATGACAATCACATATCCTGCAATTTGTGCCGCCGAGCTGTATGCACACTTACTTGCTACTCCAGGCGCCTTAGGATCAGGGCTGGTAGCACTAGAGGCAGTAACTGCATTGACAGCTATTGTTAGAAGATGGGCAATTGAATGTTGTGGTCGAGAAGATCTGTTACGGGATGGGAGGAAGGGATATCGGACATCTACAAAGTCTCCTCCCAAGAAGCGCAGTCGCTCGGCAGTCATATTTGGTGATCGACAAGACCTCGCTGACGACATAGATGAGATCAACGTCACGGAGTCCAGTTCAGAGCCTGAGACCATCCTGAAAGCTGGTCTCAGTCTCGCCCTTGCCCTAACGAAGATTCCTGCAGAGCGAGAATTTTCTACATGGTCCTACGAAGCAAGAGAGGCAATCCTTGAAGCAGTCAATACTGCGTTTGCCACTTCTGCGGCAGTCAAAAGTATGAACAAGATTGGATTCGAAGTCGTTGAAGACGCATCAAAATCGTTTGTGCGAGCAGTTTCGAACAGCTCGTCCAAGCCCAAACAACAAGAAATGTCAGTTGCTCTATTGCGTGGTCTTCTCCGCATTATGCAATTCAAAGAAGTCCTTCCGAATGGAGAACGGGGGAAACTTGAGGCGCATTCCGCAGCGAGCGCATCCTTGTTGTGCTTTGTCCAAAATTTCTCAAGCAGTACAACGAGACAGTCGTTGGGTACCCTTCGGACACCTAATCGAAATGAGCGAGATGCTCGCCATAGCCCATCACTCGCAACAGCAAGTGGAGGCAAGACTCCAAAGAGTCATCGTCGTCGTGCATCTCTGGATGGTGTAACTCCAATGCTTTCCCCTGCACTGAAGAAAGGTGTTTCGTTGGCAACAGTTGGCACTCATGCAAACAAATGCAACCCTGTTCTTTCAGTTTTACTTGGAATGATGCAGAAGTTAACTGTTTCACCGGGGTTTGAAAGAGCCAGTACTCGAACGCCCACAATCAAAGCTATCCAGCGCTGTCTTTCTTCTTTCCCACGGGCTGAACGAGCTCAATTTTTACGATACATTTTCAAGCTGAGCCAATCAAAAGTTTCAATTCATCGTTTGGTGGCCTGTGAGATCATTGGAAATTCACTAGCCGAAGAATGGCTCGAAATTCATGGTGAAGATCCGCTGAAAGAAGACAAAGAAGGATCACCAATGTCAGTCACAGAAGAAGCGCAGCAAAGTCTACCAACTGCTCTCTGGCGAGCACTACAGGGGAGACTACTGGATCGTATCGCAGCTGTTCGTGCTCGGGCAGCTTCGTCGCTTGAAGCAGCCATCAATACCAATGCGTGTTGGATGGAAGAATCACTGCTAACTGTTCTTCGAAAACGTGCTTTGTTAGATGAAACAGCGACCGTTCGAAAAGCTTCCTTATCAGCTATTACTCAGATTCTTCTGGTACGGAAGGAATGGATGTCTGAATGGCACCTGAGCGCACTCTGCGAGCTGTGTCAAGACCCGTCCATCTTGACCCGAAAGGCCGCTGCGGAAAGTCTCACAGCACTTCTTGAGGCATACAGCGAACATCACTGCAATTCACTATTGGAAGAGTCTTGGTCGAATTGTGTACTCCCCATGATTCTCGACGAAGAGGTAGGGACAAAAGCAATAGCACTGCTTGATCGACTTGTAGTCTCGCCAATTCTCTCGGAGGGGGGGATGAACAAGAGTCAAACAATGTGGCGAATACTTGGACATGTAGGAAGCGCCGCGGGACAACAAGGTGCTTCTAAGGGTCCCTCGCAAGCACTTCGAGCGGCCCTAAAGCAATTGAGTCTTGAAGATAAGAATCGAGTACACATCGATCTCATGAAGCATACGCTTAAACTCGCCCACAAAGCCATGGACGACGAGAATATGTGCGATGGTGCCTTCGTCGGGATGTGGTGTCTCCTAGAGAATATATTGGTCCAGTGCAACGATATTGGGAGCGTAGTCAACAAGTCGCAGAGCTCCATTAGAAGTTTCGAGGTCTGCTTGGCAGCTTGGAAGAGAATCTTGGCTCAGCAATCTCGCACCGCAAATCCTAGTTTCCGAAGCACACTGCGCTCGTCATTGGTAGTGGCATCCCATTTGGCAACATCCCTCCACCACTCGGTGGTTTCTCAAAACAAGCAAGAGCTACAAGAAGCCTTAGAGCGATTCATGTTCCCTCCCAATATAATTCCGGCTGCAGTGTCAGCTCTTGTTGCTATGGCTGTTAGGTCCTCGAATACAGGAAAGTCAATTGATGTTGAGAGTCACATCCGACGGCTGTACGACCGATGTGAGGCAGAATTAAGTTCGTTTATTCAACATGCGAGTATGAGTCGAGCGGATTTTGCTGGCACAACTTGTCTTCAGAATTCGGTAGTTGAAGCACTGTTTACAGTTGGAGAACTCTCTATGATTGGATTTTCTTCCGACGAAAACGAAAAGAGTGCGACCGTTTCTGATGCAGAAAGAGGTTCTGTACAAGGGTTACACATTGGACCAACGAGAAACCTTGTGGATCTTGTGCAGACTCTTCTTTCCTCTCAACTACCTGGCAGCAAGGGAATGAAAAACCCAGATCTGTACCGTGCTCACGCGTTCACGGTACTTGGAAAGTTGTGCTTGCGGGATGAGGCTCTTACCAAAGCTTCATTGAACCTTCTAGCAAGAGAATTGCAAGCGTCAGTTGAATCTTCCAGTCCTGCTATCCAAAGCAATGTGCTTTTGGTATTAGGTGATCTGAGCGTACGGTACACCAACATGACCGACAGATACCTCCCTATCCTCGCCACATGTCTTCAGACAGGGGCAGCAGAACACTCGGAGTTTTTAATGTCGAACACTACAAGGGAATTTGCTGTTGTTCGTAGGCACGCAGTGCTGCTACTTTCAAGCCTTTTGTTACAAGACTACATCAAATGGAGAGGATTGCTCTTTCACCGCTTTCTTGTGGCTTGCTGCGATGACGACGAAGGAGTTGCCCATTTGGCTGAAAGTGTACTATCAGGACCACTGTGGACAAGAAACCCAAAGCTCTTTTACAACCATTTTGTCGAATCAATCTTTGTCCTTAATAAGTGTTCTGCGCACCCGATCTATGTTGCCGCTGTCATGCAAGGGGATGGTGGCAGTGGAATTGCTGTTGGCTTTGAAGGGATTAATCTCAGTGGAGAAGTTGGAAAATCGCGCCGACGCAACATGTATGACTTCATGTTGTCAAAGTTATCCGATGAAGAAAAGATCGGTGTGATTGCAAGACTGGCAAAAGAAGTACTCGGGGGGGCTCTATCAGAGAACGGGGATTTGGGGAAGGTTTGTCAGATTGCGAGTACAGAGACGCATCCTCAACTAGAGAGTGCTTGGAACGTAATAAACGATACGTTTTATGTGCTTACCAACGGGGGGATTAATGTTGGGAGAGTTGTTGAAGGTGATGAACTCGAAGATCCCAACATTCCAAATTCATCGCGACAGGTGACAGTAGCCAAGAGTCGTCTACTTTCAAAGATCAGCCGCAAGCAAATGATTGAGATAGTGCTGCCAATCTTGTGCAATCTCAAGGTAAAACTACAGTCCCACTGTTCTCCATTGTTAAAAGACTTGATGCGATACCTTTGTGAGATCTTCCAGCAATTCAAGACTGAAGCGAAGGAATTTCTTGCGAATGACCCAACATTACTTCATGAAATTGAGTATGATATGAGACAGATGCGTTGATTAGTACTTTCAGAAGCTATGATCATATGTCACTATTTTAAAGCATAATAACATTTTTGATGATGGCATTGGTTTTGTGACGATCGCCCGGAAAACAGAGGCAATCGAGTGTGTCGAGTTTACAGGATTATTCCGGTCCTCATTCAACAACAAACAGCACGCAGTGAAAGCATGTTTGCAGAAGAGTTAGGAGGCAATACAAACCGACGCAGACAAGAGGAGCAAAGAAGTCGCCGTAGAAAGGCGAAGTTGCAGAAGAAGAAAGAGGAGACAGAGAAAGCTCGACCAGCAAGCTTACAAGAGAAGTCAGATGTTGTTTCTCATGTCATCACCCAACCGAAACCTCTGCCAATTACTCCATCCGAGTCTGCTGACTTTCAGCCAACAGCGGTTTCCAATGCATTGCAGCTGCGGGTCGAGCGGCAGGCGAAACAGAAATTGGATACTTCTGTGCGGAAGCTTCAGTCATTTTACCGAATGCATCGATCCAATTCGAAACTACTTCAGAGCGTCACGACGACGCTCAAGAAACATATCACCGATCTAGAGAAGCTGCAGCTCTTGCTGAACAAAAATTTACCGAGAAAGTCTTACGTCCTTCCTACAGCAACGAGCACAGCGCTGTGCCAGCAGTTACTCTTCATTACAACGAGTCTTCCATATAAGAATCGAACTAGGTCTGTAAGTCTTCGAAATGTGAAAGCCACGTCGCACCTGCTGAGGAAAGCAGTCGAGCTTGTTTTTCTTCCTGAAATTTGTAACACAGATGACAGCTCCAATACATTTTCAGAATGGTTGCAATCCCTGCAAGGACAAGTTCGCCTTCAAAATCTTTTGAGATTGTGCTTGTGTGTTTTGACAACAAGCTGCGACGATGCAATACAGGGTACCTGTTGTGAGTTTATACTGTCAATGACAGCAGCAGGCACCGACAGCAGGGCTCCCTCAACTGTTGTAGAAGTTTACCGAAAATTTCTCCTACCAGTGTCTACTCCCCGACTTGGTACCTGTGTGGAAAAGACTTCAAGGGGCAGCAAAACTGCGAAGCCATTATTATTTTGGCAGCTAGGTTCTCCCCTAGATATGATTTCCATTCTACGACATTTTCTTCTGCTTTCGACAGGAGATGGTCCAATACCAACCATGGCGAATGACATTGGGGAATCTTGCATCAAAGCTGAAGAACGAGGTATTGCTAGCTGTTTGATGATTACAATACTGAAGGCAACAGAAGGGGCAAGTACCAGTAATGAAAGGCACTCTCTGCTCCAAAGACTATTGACAGAAATATACACGATCCCTTTACTCTCATGGCGAGTCACATCAGATTGTCTGCTGTTCAAGGGTAGCCTTGATCAATCCAAGCTGCTTGTCGCAACTATGATTGAAAAGTTCACAGAGCGTTTCTCTGACACTTTAAATACAGGCAAGATTCAATCGTTATTTCCCAATGATGTTTCACTGTCGATCTGTAATGCGACACCAATGCAATCTTTGTTAGCTAATCTGATGCAAATTGGGCATGCTTCTGTTGCGTTGAACGGAGTGGACGTTTGGAGGCTCGACTTTGCAATGGCCGCAACTTTCTACGAGTTTATCGCCACGCTTGTTGACGCTATCCCCCTTGGTACATTAGCGACAAAAGATTCGGTTGTTGAATGGCTTTCTGATGGGAAAGGTCGTGAGACTTGTATTCTATTGAATCCAGTTGTCATGAGGCAGTGTCGAATGGTGCTGTCACCATCCATCGTCCGTAGACTGTTTCTATGCGCGATCGATCAGGAGAATCTGAAGATAAAGGAAGTGCTGTGCTCAAAAACTCAAAAGGACTTGAAGCAAGAAAGGGAGCTGGAAGAAGCGGGCTCAAGTGCAGTTTCTCTTGCTGCAAAAGAAGCCAAGATTGACCGGAGCAAGTCGTTTTGGAAAAGCAGCACCTGGGCGAAGAAAGCATCTATTGAGGTTTCTAAGATGCTCTCGGGGGATACGGCCAGGGCAAAAGGAAATCTCCAACCAAAGCAAGCGCCAGCTATTGATTCAAATGGGTCTATGGTGCGTTGGAAATACTCTCCAGCTTTGCTAAAGGTGTTATGTCGCCTATATGGAATTGTGATTGGGAGGTGGGGAGGATTTGGAGGTGAAGATTATGTGAGGCGTCTTCAGAAAAATGACAATGGGAAATCGAGACCTGTCGCAACGCGAGCTCCAGACGTGTGCAGCCAGTCCCTTCTGAATGTAATTTGTTTTTCGACAAGCGTTACCGAAACTACATGGGGCATGCTACAAGGAGAAAAGGATTTCACGGCCAGTTTAAATGGTGTGGTTAGTTCAACAAAAGAGAAACTCCCAGTTCGATGCCTGTCAATTCGTCCTCGCTATGGAAAGGAGAAGAAATATCAAACAAGGACAGATTCTGCTGCTCTGCTCTTTCTTTTTGTTTCCTCGCTTTCTCACACCTTAATCATCACTGATGATACAGAGGTTCATGAAATGGAAAAACCATTACCATTGCATCAGCTTCGAAGGTAAGAAGGACCAATACTAATCCCCAAATCGCATCACCTGACTAATACAACATTTTGGATCACCTAGATGTGTCGAACTATTGAAGCAGCTGCTGTACCAGGCTTGTTGTATTGATGACGTTGGAGATTCAAATACTTCAATCTTGCAGTCTGACTATTTTGGATTGGCATTAATCAACTCTACGGCAAAAACAATGCGAGACTTGTATGATCGGTCTAGTCGGAGACCCATATCAACACCAAAGTTATGGCTCATTGACGATCTACTGGAAAAGGACATCAAAAAGAGCAAAACAGAACAGGACTTTGTTGCGTTGCTGAACACCCCTGTGCTCAGAATTTGCCCTTTCCTTGTTTCCTTCAAACGTCGACTGAAACTATTTGATCGAATTGCAAGTAATGTTTTCCTAGTTGCTTGATGGTCTGAAATTTTCTAACCCTTATCCCTCTACTATAGGTATACAAAAATCGAGTAGCAATACAAGGGGAAAGCAGCACTAACCCATTTCACACTAATCCCTTAAAACCTGGGATTCCTGTTCGTATTACAAGGGGCAGGATACTCGAAGATGGTCTAAAAACAATGAACAACCTTGGCGCAAACATGAGGCAAAGAATTGCAGTTCAATATTATAACAAGGCAGGGATGAAGGAAGCCGGTATAGACGCTGGTGGTTTATTCAAAGAGTTTTGGACAGATTTGAGCACAGTCGCCTTTGACCTGGGATATGGCCTCTTTCGCATGACAGAAGGTGAGGAGATTTTTAATTGTTTTGAATGCATTTCTTTGAAGGAACTGACGGATTCATTACTTTCTTGCAGACAATTGCATGTATCCCAGTCCCTTATCAAAGGCGGTCCATGGCCCTGACCACATAGTTCTGTTTGAATTCCTAGGTCGAATTCTTGGGAAAGGTAAGTCCAGGTGCGAGGGCTACTGTGGAGTTGACAAAAAGCAACAAAATTCATCGCTAAACTCTTGCGTCCGATCTCTAGCACTATACGAAGGCATAACAATGCAGCCTCAGTTTGCCCATGTCTTCTTGTCATTTCTGAGGGGGAACTACAACTATTTCCACATGCTGTCAGACCTAAGTACAATTGATCGAACTCTACATAACAACATTATGTTTCTCAAGACATATGAGCATGATGCTGAAGACCTTTGTTTGACTTTTTCTATTGCAAATGATGACTTTGGGCAGAACAATGAGATAAATCTGATACCAAATGGAAGTGAAATCCCTGTCACCAACGAGAACAAACACCACTACATTGGTACGTAAGGAGCAGAAACTCCCCTCCACCCCATCCTGTCTGTGATTGCTGAAAAAAAAAGTCATGTGATCTTCTCCTTATAGGACTATTTGCAAAGTATTTTGTGAATGATCGCATCAAGGATCAGTGCGAAGCTGTCAAGCGAGGCCTCTTTGAAGTACTTGATCCTTCTTGGCTGCAAATTTTCAATGAGCCAGAGTTGCAGGTTCTAATTAGTGGCCCCTCACAGGGAGAACTAGATATCAGTGATCTAAAGTCAAATTGTCGCTATGCGGGGGGTTTTACCAGCATTGATCCAGTAAGTTGCAAGAGATTTCTGCTATATATTTTTGTTCCTCACAGTGTCAATTGACTTTTCTCACATTGTGTGTTGCCCGCACAGAACGTAAACAGGTTTTGGAAGGTTGTTAGCTCGTTCAGCTCGGAAGAACAAGCTTGTCTGCTCCGATTTGTGACAAGTTGCGAGAGGCCCCCCCCTGTACGTTACCTCATCCTTGGGGCAAGCATGTTGTCTGGCGACTAGATCAACCTCTTATCCAGTCCCTTGTGTTATTCCACAGCTCGGTTTTTCTTCCTTGAACCCACCGTTCACAATTCAGAGAGTTGGAATCCTTCGTGACGGCGACAAGTTACCTGCATCAAGCACTTGTTTCAATGTACTAAAGCTTCCGACTTATAGCAGCCAAAAGGTCATGAGGGAACGATTACTATTTGCGATTCGTTCCGGAGCTGGATTTGAACTGGCTTAAACTTGTAGATTTTGGATTGCTGTTCTTGGCCTTCTTAGTTGACTGTTGTAGCACAAAGACGCTAGCTACACAGCCGTGCCAAACTGCTACTACATCTGGCAAAGGATGACCAATGTTTATCATCAGAGGCTGACAGTAATAGATTGCTTGGCCCCACCTCACCCTAAGTCTACAGTGACGAATGAAGCAGTCTACCAGTGAATATAGCACGCAAGGATGGGCCAAAGCAGGGAGTCCTGCGAAAGAAAACGTGGCACAGCCGATCAAAAACAGCAGTCAAAAGAAAGGCAGGACAGGAGGAGAAAAAGCGACTACCCAATGTGCGCTTCAGCAGCCTAGAAGAAGAGCTGCTTCTTTGGCATGGATACAAGGCACTTGGAAACAATAGTTCAAAGTGGGTTGCAGTCTCAAAAGACTACTTCAAATCAACAAGACAGCAGACAACTCAGGATGATGGTGACAGAAATAAATGAATATAGACTACAAGCCTATATTTGACTAGTTTCTACGAGATGATGGATATCAATTCAGGTAAAAAGCATGCAGTGAGAAAAGTGATCACTTTTCCACACGAATCCTGTGATTTGTTGGAGAACTGCTGACTCAGTTCTTTTCTACTTCTTTTCTAGGCTAAATTAATGGCGTGTAGCTGTTCAAATCCTATAGCTTGAGTCACGAGTCCCGTTCCGATTAGAATTCTGCCTGTCACTCCCCAAATGGGACAAAGTGAGGACCTAGTCCTCTTTATCAGCAGTATCTCCAGACCAGAACATTAGAGTTGGTAATAGAGGCCAAATTTGCTGATGACCCCAATGTTTGGTGAGAATATCAGCGGGGTTGAGAGCACCTTCAATGTGGATAAAAGATAGCATGTTGGATGCTACTGCTTCTCTCACACGGTGGAACGACAATGCAATATGTTGCTTGTGTAGCTTAGCTTCAGGTCGGGAAGAACTGTTTGCAACAGATTCATTGTCACCCAACATGTAGCTTTGACCTTTGATTGGCCCACCAAGGTACCTCAGGGTCTGTTGAAGATCCATGATCTGTTTGACACAGGTTTGAGCGGCTACAAACTCAGAACCATAAGAAGCAGTCTCAACAGTTGACTGCTCCTTAGAGAAGAAATCGATTGGGGTTCCATTCAACATGTGGTGGATCATACCCATGACCAATTGGTTTGTCATTAGACAGTAGGATTTTATTTGGTGTGGTAGTACATAGGTAAAGTCACCGTAAGGTAGGAGTCTGGACTTGTGTTTGTCACAATGTTTTCAAGGGCATTGACAAGTTGGACTCTGAACTTTTGGTGATCTTTTGGTGATCTTTTGGTGATCTTTTGGTGTTGGGGTTCCTCTCCCCATATCCGCAAGTACCTTGTACATTGCAAGCAGATCTATCTTGACTTTGGTGGCATGCATCCAGTTGGCGTTGCCATGGAGTTTGTTGAGTTGAAGGATGCCATTGTGGTCCTTCTGGATCTTGTAGTTGTACATATACTTTGGTGTAGTAGTATGTAGCAATCTCAGCTTGACTTGATTGGTTGGACAAAGAAGTTTCTGCTTGTCCTCCTTGACTATATTTCTAATAAGTTTACAGCCTTGACTTTCCGGTAGGTTATGATTCCTAGCGTACATAGTGTAGGTCATGGGATCATCGGCTCCAGTGATTCTCAGTGGTTCTGGGGTTTTCTCCCCATGTTTCGATCCAATGGTCATACTGTAGGTCAGACCCAGGTAAGAAGGGTGTTCAAGTTAAATGTAGTGATGGTGGCATACAACTCGCTTGAGCTTCCAATCAATGGGGTTGTCCTTGTCAGTTTCTGACCACTTGTGAATCCTGTAGTAAGCCATGACATATTCCGAAAAAACACGCAATTAAAAACCACACGCAAATCCAGGTCCAAAACAGCACATCTAGTACTTCTCCTACACAGAGCGGCCGTAGTGACGCTGAAAAAGAGGTTGTTTTCAACTGGAAAACAAAGGACCAAGCAAAAGAAAGACAGGCAAGGGCCCCAGGGCACAAAGAGTATCCGAAAACGATTCCTATCATGCTTCTGTAAGCCTTGTCCAAAAAGAATGGGGAAAAGTGGACAAAATCTGCCCATTTGATGCTTCTGCCTTTTTGGGTCTGTTGGACGACGATGACAGCAACAAAATCGCTGATGATGAGGAGGATAACAAGAAGCCGCGCAGTCAGAAAGCAAACTGGGATTCCTATTATATCAGTAGTTATCCTGTCCCACAAGAACAAGCAAAAATGGTACAATCTTACCCATTTTCAGCAGCCTTCTTGGGTTTTCCTGATGATGCTCGCCGTCCCATCAACACAGTTTTCGATGATGACGGTGACATGGCAACTGAAAAGGCCTCCAGCACAAGCGCACTATCCACTCCAATGGTGATTCTCCAAGATGCTGAGGAGGATATCCCTTTCCAGAAGCATGATAAAATGGCCCAACAGCTTTTCAATTTTTTTACCTTTGGTGGCAAGAATGGAATTGCTGACAGACATGAGGCCCCTCTTTGGAAGCATGGAAGCCCCGCAACGCCTGGCAAAGTATCAAGGCTTGCTGATACGGCCGGACCTTGGGTGCATATGGCCCTTTTTTGACAATCATAATATGTTTTACCAATTGGATGCCCTCTCCTGCGCCCACTCCTTGCAACAATCCAACCCTTGGTAAGGACCTATTGCAAAGCAATTGCTATTGGTTCCTTCATCCTCTTGTTGATTGGCAAATGCCTCAATTTGATTTCCCTTTATGGATGTTCAAATGTTGGCATTCTTCCCTCCTACATCCAGGCAATTCACCACTTATCTGCGGCTTCACCATGCCAGGACACAACCTACTGGCTCTGACCCTCTTTGCTTCTCCTTAGACTACAACCAGCCGCCTTTTGATGCTTGTAACAACCACAATGTTCTGGAACACTGTGCTCATGAGACGCTCTCCATTCATTTGGATCGATATACTCATGGCAGAAGGGAGCAAGAACACAAGGCCCAATCAAGCTTCAATACAGGCAGCACAACACACAGAAAAAACACAGAAAACAACATAAAAATACACTGCCTCGAGTGGCAAGATTGTTTGAATAATATACCCATGGGTAGGGTACATACATCTATTCAATAGAGCAACTTCCTTGGGATTGGATGCCTCAAACTGGTTCAACAGTACTGGACTCACCTCCGTATGGTAAATGGCCATGACAGCCGTTAACGGCAATCTAGAAACTTGAGATAGTTTTAACATGATTAATGCATCAGATTTATTATTATTGTAGTAAGCCATGACACGTTCATATTCACCTTTGTCAATGTTCAGGCATAGTTGAATACGTGCAGGCTGAATGTCCCTGTTACAATTGTGCTCGTAGTTAAGCTCAACAATCTTAGCACGTCAAACATAACCTTCACCATCTGGTGAGAAAAGGAAAGTTTGTCGGATGAGATCACTATTTCCTATCAGAACGTCTTCTATATCTGATTCATCGTCACTAGAATAAACAACGGAAATAATAGTTTTATTGTCTCTAGATTTCATTTTTGTAGTTTGTAGGGGTTGTCAACTCCTCTCCATCAGATAGATCAATTGAGTTGATTATTGTAGGGAGCGTGAGTTCCTCCCCATCAGGTAGATCAAGACGTTTGTGTAGTGTGATAGGTGATCTAGCAGAGCAGATTTCTGAAGAAAACAAGAAGTTGTTCGTTTCTAGAAACAGAAATTGGTAGATGTAGCGACCAGGATGCCCGACAATGCCTACTGTGCCTAACATGTAACAAATAGGCTCTAGGGATGACGGCAAGAGATGATATTTGTGTTCATGGTGGGTCTCCATAGGAGATCTAGCTAGATGAACAATAGTACAAGGAAACAATCTCTGGATATCTAGCTTGGGCAACCACTTGAAGTCCATGTGCAGGCGTTCCCAGTTGCATTCATGTGATTTCATTGCTGAGCTCAAGTTATTATACACTGGATCCACTGTCAGGATAGAATCATGAGCATTTGGATCACGAGGCGGTGGGCCTGGTCCTGCAGATTTGTCCTTTGAGTTCCACCTTCCATCCTCAGAACGTGTCTTGCGGCGTGGGCTGCATTGAGGTTCAGAGGATGACAACTTGTGAGTCAAGTCTATGAGTTTGTCTTGCAGTGGAGTAGACTCAATGACAAAGTTTATAGGCGCTTCAGGAACAAATGAACAGATGGTTGCATGCCTGACTTGTAAGCTTCAAAATCTGGTGGTCTAAGTTGTGTCACATGAGCAGGATCTAAATCAAATAGACCAGCCATGTTACATTCCAACCAATCAAGATCAGAAGCTTGTCCAGGATGTAGTTTGTACAGACCATTTGTTGGCATGACACAGTGATGGGTTTCAAAAAGAAATCAATAGCATCATCTAAGGCAGGAGAATCCTTCAGAGTAGTGACTGTTTTTATTACTCTTAGAGATGCCTACTCTATCAAATGAACCAGTTTGTTCATCTACAGACCCATCATCCGGTACAGACTTGGCCCATTCATCAACATCAACTCCATCTATGGCTATCTTACGATTCTTGACCTCTTGAGTAGCTTTACGATACTTGGTTGCTGGCACCAGAGCCAACTTGTCTGATTTGGTCTCTTCACTTGTTACAGAAGTCAGAGTATCTGCATCTTCACTCCTCCCCATGCTCGAGTGCTGGAACTGTGAGAGAAAATCGGTAGTAGTCAACATCTCATGTAACTTGACAGAATGTTGGGGGAGTGGGGGTGGTTGCGCAGGAAGCTGGTTGTTGGAACCAGCAGCTTCTAACTTTTCAGTGCAAAGAGATGTCTTGCAAGGAAGTGTTGCCAAAGATGCCAGATAAGCCCAGTAGGTAACAGGATCGGGTTCAAGGTCAACTGTTGCCAGATCAGTAACAACCGGCTCAACAAGACAAGGATACTGGACATGTTCCTCATCAAGGGTTCCATGTCAGCTTTTGGTCTCAAGGTCAACAACGGGATCAGGCTTAAGGTCGACCGATTCAAGATCAATAAAAAACGGCTCAACAAGACAAGGGTACTGGAAATGTTCCTTGTCAAGGGTACCATGTTTGCCTTCAGGCTCAAGGTCAACTGATGCAAGACCAGAGACAAAAGGCTCAGCAAGACGAGGGTATTGAGTGTGTTCCTCGTCAGGGGTGAGACATTTGGCATGATGACTATTCCATTGCCTATTATTGAACAAAGATGGATAGAGATTAGCATCTAGTTTAATGCCCCGATCAAATTCCTCAGCTGGTGAACGTCAAGATGGCTTGGAGACAAGAGACTGTGGGATGGTGCAGCTACGGAACATGATGAATGCGCTGGAGGCCCTGTATGTATCAAAATCATCAGGGTCAATGAGGACACAGTTAGTCAGAGTGACTGGGTCCTGAAGCACAGTTTCTTGGTGGTAGAAGTAGCCACCAATCCCATGAAGATATGCCTTAAGCGGTTTTGGCACATCCCGAAGTACATCAGGTTGGGGGTCACCGTTAGCGCCACATGGCCGACTGACAGGATACTGGAGTCCGTCAATATCAGCATCATCCATGCCAACAAGATCAAGGTAACATTTACAACCGTATAAGTCAAGTGCTAGATGAAGGATGCTGCCAGCACTATAGCCGACAACAGTTTCCAGGATGTACACAAGACTTGATTCAAGATTTCCAGGTTGTAGGACTCTAGATGGGTTGCGGTTTGTTGTTGAGTTACCAGCAGTGGACATTGTCACTTGTGTGCCTGACGGGTGAGTAGTATTAGTGGTGGGCAGTTGAGTGTTGTTGGTATCAATGTTCAGAGCTTGCAATTATCTTTGGCCTATCCGGACCATGTAGGAGTTGACTCAGAGGAATGGAACTCAGTCAACTTAGTTGATCAGAAGATCAGTTGACTGGTTGGAGTCGATTATCAATGAAATTAATTACTAAAAACTATTATTATTTCAGACGTAGCCGTTGCTATGACTATTAATCCTCCAATCCTGTGAGAAGCCGAGCACAGGAACAATCCTCAATGGCCAAGCTGATAGGTAGGATGGGACACAGCACGGAGGACCAGAGACTTGACTTGCCCGGAGTAGGGAGTTAGAACCCCTTGAAATGCAAGCAATGCAAGCACTGCAAGCAAACAAGCCTACTACAGGTAGGATGACCCTGCAAACTCTAATTTGTGTACGCCCTGAGTTTGAGGACGGTCCTAACGTTGGACTGGAACCAGTGCGACGCCAAAGTAAAATAAAACAACACGCCTGAACCCACTGTTGCACAGCAGAAGGCTCGTTTCCTGATGTGTTGGTGTAGAACTGCGGGATTGGGCGCACCATTGCCCTTTCCAGACGACAGCCAACTTATCAGACATCACACACTGTTGCTCCCCATTCTCCAAATCCATTGGGTACTCGTCAGTCTCATCTTGTTCAGGAAGAAGAGCATCAGAATCACTCCCCATGCTCGCTTCCCGCAACTGAAGGAGCAAGCTGTGGCTAGTGCTGTCGGCAGAGACACTAAGGCAAAGATCACCACTGTGTGGGTCCAATAAAGTTTGGTCCCAGTCAAGGTTGGAGACGAGTGTGGCATTACCAATGCCAGTGTCATTCAGATCCATTGTAGTGTCTAAATCATCTATTTGGTCGAGAGTCTCATCTTCAGAGGCTTCATTCAGAGTTAAAATAGTTTTACTATTCTTTAGGATGCCTACTCTATCGAATGGTCTCTCACCTTTGCCCTGGTCTCTCACCTTTGCCCTGTTCGTCCAGCCTGTCAATGTTGGGATCCAATAGAGTTTGGTCCCATTCAAGGTTGGAGTCGAATATGACATCATTTGCAATGTCACGCTTGTTCAGTGTCGGTCTACTAATGGTGCTTTGTGCGCCAACAAGTTGTGTGGCACGACTACCATTGAGTATATTGACACCGTCAGACGTGCAAATACTAGGTTGTAGAGCGGAAGAAACAAGAGTAGTAGGACTAGTAGTGTCACTATACTGATTACTGATCACGTCTACTGTAGCTTGGCGGTCTGATTTGTCGCTCATTGGCCGTTGTAGCTCCCCATGTTTGGGTGCAAATTCGTTGCGTATGGTGGCTAGATGGCTGCCTGGGTTCGTCTCCATCTGTGTTGGAAGGAGAGTATCAGGGGATGAGTCAATAGGTTTGCGATGACCAGGCTTGGAGACAAGAGGTTGTGGTAAAGTAGTATTATTAAAAACTATAAAGTCACCACTACATTGATAGTTTAGGAATGCCTGTACGTCAATGTTCATGCAATTGATCGGAGTGATCGGATCGCAATGGACGGTTTGACGGAGGTAGGCATATCCAAGTAAAACCCTAAAAGTACCACGATGGGGCCGTTCAAGCTGTACAAGCTCAGTTCGGCCAGTATCCGCCCCATGTTTGTCGATGAGAGGTGCATCATATTTCAGTTCACGGACTTCATCCTCAGAGAAGAAGAGGAGATTCATGAGACAATTGCTACCATCACGACGAAGAGCAAGCATGAGTGGGCTGTCGAGGGGCTCTCGAAAGAGGGTTGTGACAGCAAACTCAAGGCTTGCAAGAGTAAAACCAGGGGGCACGGTAGCATTGGCAGGCGTACCGGCAGTATTGCCAACTGTTGGAGTTGCGGGGCTGACAGGTTGATTGGCAGCACCAGCGGTAGGAGCAGGTGTGGAGTTCGTACCGCTCTGAGTAGTTGACATGTCTGGTTTGTTGTTGTGGGGTGGAAAACCAGGGGAAGAGTTTTCTCACGAGAGCAAAAACTCTTGGGACGATGCCTGTCCCAAAACTTCTTAGCGCAAGGGTCGGTCGAGTGATTCCCTAAAAGAGAAGGGCTCAAATAGGTTGACGTTCCGAACTAGTGAATTCCCTACGGTCACACTATTCCCAAGGATTGCGGTTAGGCTCTATTGGTTTGCTTGAACGTCAGTCGAGGTCAGGACAGACAAATGAAGGTCCCAAAAAAATTGGAACAAGGAGTCGTCCGTATTCTATGGACTTTTAATCTCCCTTGACCTTCGTAGATCCGGTTATCACCGTACTCAACAACCAGCAAAGTGAAAATGACCTAACCAAGGTTGGTTGATTGCAGGTGCGAATACGGAGACTGGTCTTCTGAGTCTGTAAGAGACTGACTGCAGAAGACTACAAGAGGCTGGATGAAACCCCTTGACCTTTACGGGTATAGGCGTCCCGGTGCTCCAACGATCAACAAGTGCCCGGTCGAAATCTGGCTGATGGTCAAGTGGAAAAAGAATGCAGCACTCCAAAAGTCGTTGTGCACGCAACAACGATCAACTCTGGGGGTGCTGGGAAGGACTGCGGGAAACTGTGGCATACCTTGTTGCCATTACATCATGTGAACGAAGTTTTTCACCTGAAAAGGTTTTCTTTGCCTCATATTGATGGACCCAAGACTACTGAGACTGTTACCAATAGCACATCAAGACCTAATACAAACCCGCAAAAACGACATATTGTACTGTCGTTCGACTGTGTTAGAGAGGCTATTGCATGCAATACGCTCTCCTTTCTACACATTGAAGGTGCTAAACACCCGGCCGATATCCTTAGCAAAAGATATCAACAAATATGGCCACAGCTATGTACCCTACTTTCATGAGTAGATGACACAGCTGAGGAGGACTAGGTCCTCACTCACTCACTCACCCATTTGGGGAGTGACAGAATTGTATCAAGAACGGGTTTTGTGATTCGGACCAATACAATTCAATTGTTAGCGGTCTTATGGGTCTTATAGTAATTAGTAGTAAAATAGATATGATGACATGTTGTCGGATGAGAACAGTTGGAACTTTGCGCTCAAGCGCATCAACTGTTCGTCAATTCCCGATGGACTCATCTTGTCGTGTTTTGTTTACCTTGAATTGATAATCTTATCTTCTAGTGGAATTACAAGGTTTCCCCAATAATAATAATATTCTGTCGTTCACTGTTTATTTTGTTTTGTATTTTCATTTTGAACATATACATACTTGTCTGACCTAGTCCTGTGGACCAAGAATCAGATCCCTGAACTTGCAAAACTTCTCACCTTGCAATGGCTTAGTCATGAAATCCGCAATCATATTGTCAGTTGGACAGTATTCGATCTTAACATTTCCTTTCTCAACTTGATCTGTGATAAAGAAATAACGAATATTGATAGCTCGGCTTCTTTTGCCCGCGCTCTTGCGACCATTCTCTTCCAGTAGAATCGCGCTTTTGTTATGGTGATACAAGATATTCTTCTCGATCGGATACCCTTGCCACTCCATGAACAACTTTGTCCATAGTATCATTGTGACAACATCGTCAACAGCAATCAGGTCCGCTTCTGTACTGCTTCTGCTGTTTAGTTTTTGTTTCTTTGACATCACTTGAGCTGCACCTCCTCCAAAGGACAGAGTGCCGCCGCTATGCCTCTTGAAATCTGGATGCACCGCAAAAGATGCGTCGATCATCCATTTCATGACTCGTAGTGATTCAGCGGAAAGTGTCAGGTGATACAACAATGTACAAAACAAATATCGCATCATGCGAAAACACTTCTTCCAATCAGACTATGTAGGTTCTCGAACTCTCGAGGCAAGAATAGTAATCGTTGGATGGATATCCAAACGAGCTCTCTTAAAGACATAAAGTCCCCTTGCAACAGTAGTATGAAAGATTTGACGGTACTCAGCATTGAGTAACTTTCCTTTCCCAGCCTCCAGTAAATCGTTACCAGCTGGTGTTTCCTACTTTGAATCCTTGTTGAACTTGATAGGAAATCTTCCAACATGTTCTTGACATAGTCGTCCATGCGGATCTTGAGTTTTCCTTTCACCAAGAAATCCAAAGTCATTCCAAGATATCTGTGTATCGTTCCTCTGACGATTGTACATGCCTTAAGATTGAGCTTCTTCCCGTAATCAACATAGTGTTTCGGATGTTTCCATTGACTCTCTGGTAGCAGTCTGTCTGGGCATTTTGGAGACATATGATCCTCTTTGCCACATACATAACATGCTGCCTTTTTCTTTTTGTCCTTCGGTTTACCCTTCCCTTTACCTTTACCTTTATTTGGCTGGTCTTTTCCTTGGTACAGGTTCACTCCCGGATTCTTGATCACATCCATGAGAATCTTCAACATATCTTGTGCTTTGCTGACCGTCTTTGGATAATAATCCACTTCCCTGCAGTAGTTTCTCTGAAGATCCAGCATCAGAGGAGCTGTTCTTGTTTGATCACAGTTGCATAGGAATCCTGTTGCAAGAACGGCTTCAAAGATATCATCCTTGAACTTGTCTTTAGCAGTAGTATCGGTGCTAGCAATAGCAGCATACGCTTTCGTTTTGACTGCAAAATTTCGGAACCAGGCAACGCCATATAGATCTTGCATGACTTCAGCCTGTCTCAAGAATTGTTCCTTGAAATGCATCAAGTTTTCGGTTGTTCCTTGCTTCATAGCAAAGAAC